TATAATATTTTTTTTTTTTTTTTCTTTTAAGGAATCGGTTCCAAATAAGTAGCTTGTTATTATCAATATATCGATACCACAGTATCCATGTGCCCATCCCACAGTGTTTACACTTTCATCTTTGATGGTTTACTTCCAGTTGTCTTTGCAAATTAAACTGGGACAAGAGAAATATTTTAACCTTTAATCACTGTGATTTTCCTTTATTGCTGTAGCACATTAATCGCATGAATGCCTGTTTGAATTAGCAGTGAAATTGTTGCACACAGGCTGTAGGAGAGGTGTTTTGAGGACAGTATGTGATCTTTTCTCTACATGTGACCTCCTGTAGGTCTCACATGGCCTATATTGTTGAGGGACCTTGGTCTATTAAAGGTTTGACACCGAACGTGTCCTCCTGTAGATGAGTGTGTGTGTGTGTGTGTGTGTGTAGCATCAGGCAGGCTGGATGGTCGTCCTGCAGGGAATGTGTGTGAGACTGATTACCTGTGCTTTCTGGCTGTAGGTCATTTCTCAGCCCATCTACCTCTCTGCCCACTGTCCATTACTCAGAGAGAGATAGAGAGAGAGAGAGAGAGAGAGAGAGAGAGAGAGATTTGCTTGTCAGTTTGCCTGATGCTCTGCGGAGGTTATATATGACAGTCTCTCTGTCTGTCTCTCTCTCTGCGCTGGTAATGAGGTATGACCGTGGGGTCAGTGCTCTCATACGCCCTTGTGTGTTTTGTCGTGTCCTGTGAGAGCAACATGCACAACATACACACAAGTGCACACTATAAATCACATGCGACCTCCACACACACACACTCAGCCAAAAACAAGAAGCACAATGCAGGTTCCCGTACTGTCCTCACTTTAATAACCTCAGAAACACTAACGGCATACTTACATGATCTCTGTAGTGCATTTAAATTCACATCAAGCAGATTAAGATATGACTAAGATATGATATGATAGATTTAACAAGATAAGGGCATATTCTTTTCCCAGAAGCATCAACCAACTATTAGAGGTTAAAGTTATTACAGAAGTTTCATTTAGCCCAAAACCGAAACCCTAGCTGAAAATAAAACTTATTTAATAGTCAACAAATTAATCAAGTTTATTTAATAATCAGCACACTGAGTATTATACAAACATTTAAAAATTAACAACACTAGTTTTTATATCAACTTGATATGATATAACTGTTATAAATGTTGTAATTGTTTATATAATTATAATATAATATAATATACTCCAATTCGTTGTTGAAACATTTAAGCAGTTTCTGTAATAAAAGCTTGTTTTTATGACGTATTTATTCAAACTTACATTAAATATTGAAGACATCACTAGGTTAAAGAAAAAATATAAATAATATGCAATATAGTGCATATATTCAGCAAAATGCTCCTCGCTAAAGGAGAGATACAGTAACTAACGAGCTATGGACATTGAATGGCTTTCAGTGAGGTTAATTAAATGGCTCTACGGCTCTGCAGTTGGTTATTATTGGTTTTGTTGACGTCCTTTCGAGTGATTACATGATACATGATTCATTTCAGTAAGCCATAAGGTTTCTTTCAACACCTTCTGATGTTCATTCATGTTTATTTCTTGCTATAACTTGTAGTAAAGATGAAGATATGAACAGTTCACGTGCTGCTTGAACTGAAGTGGCTACAGCGATCTGTCACGCCTCATTAAAGACCATCAAAATGACATTTATTGTTTGAATATCAAGATAAAATTGACAGAATTTGAACAATGAGACTTGTTTATTCAATAGGAGACAGGTACACTAAAAGTAATGTTTAGTGAAGTTTTGTTCAATCATTCAAGTCAATTGAAAACACCATAAACTAAATAATCTTTCTTGCAATTTAAGAATCAGTATCGGTTCATCAAAATGAAGATTGATTAAAAGTGAGAAATCATTATTGTCAACCCAGTCCTAGTGTCCACACAGCTGACATGTTTACTTATTGTTGTTTATCCACAATATAGACGCCTACACAGTCAAAATGTTGGAGAATGTTTTGGTCAATGATTTCAGCCCTCCAAAACCATTTCAGCTGAAAACAAATATTCATTTTATTTAGCTGATTCGGCCGAATATTTTTGGTTGACAAAATTTCAGTGCATCACTGCCACCTATGGTCACAAGTTCCATTGTTACCAACATTTTTCAATGATTTTGTGTTTCCCAAAAAAATGTACAAACAGGATCACAAAGTTTGGAACTGCAGCTCTTAATTGTAAAATGTGTAATGTAAAAACAAAAGTTGGCATGACTTTCTGATCATATCATTTTTTACAGTGCAGTCTATGTTAGTATGACGTGTGGAATTACAGATCAAGCTTGTGAGCAAAATATATATATATTCTGTGATTGATTTGCATGATTGAATAGCGACTTAAAATTCAAATGCAATGTTTATTATTCACAGCGATACATTATTTCATCTTCAGCTGACGACATTAACAACAGTTGTTCTAGAGGAGACACACCCCTGATCAGCTGACACGTTTCTAAAGGCTTCTGAAATCATCAAACCAGACCAGCCTGACCAATGAAAATCAGCTTGGTGGCTTTCTAAGGCTGGATGAAAATGCTTTTTCAAAAGAGGAAAAAAATACCTTTAACTGGTAAAATCAATATGACACACAGCTTTGAGTGGATCTTTGCGGTTATAAAATGGCTGTGTCATGAGCAGTTTGATTTGGAGTCATTCCAGAAAGACTCCAAAGCTATTCTATTGTCTGAAAAAATACGATCTTTAGTGTCTTTTTAAATTATGTGATATATCTAATACAACATATAACACTATAGATTGTTAAAATAAACTTTTTTTTTTTTTTTTTTTTTTTTTTTTTTTTAGTTAGCTAGGTTTCGGCATACTAAATTAGCATACCACTACTGCTAACCAAATAGACTGCTAAATAGACTGTTAACCAAATAGCCTTTACTCTATGCAAATGTTCAATTATATATTTTTATACTGTACATATTGCAAGTTTTTGCTTCATACTCTTGGAACGCCGCTCTGCAAATCAGATCAGAGGAGCAGAACTGCTGAATAATAATGATGTGAACACATTTACCTGCAGAAAGGAGGTTGGTTTGAGGTAGTTGATCATGTTTTACCACACAGCTTTTCTGTTGTTTTCGCTGCTCTTGTGGAAGACAACAGGAGAGCTCAGATGCCTGCTGATGTGAGGATACTAGCCCTTGTAGGTATGATGGCCTCAGGGTGTGACTGTAGTTTTAACCTCCGGCTGAAGAGACGTCTCGCTCACACCAACATCCTCCTGTGTGTGTATGTGTGTGTGTGTGTAAGTGCTGGGTGCTTGAAATAGTGAGGTATTTGAATGAACATCGTAAAAATATATATATATATATACTGTATATGCATCTGTTTTTACTTGCATGTATTGATGTATTGTATACTTAACAAATGGATTTCTTCTTCTCTCTTTTTTGCAGCCTCTCAGTAAGTACCCACCGCTCTTCAATGACATCTCTTTTTGGCTGCCGACCGAAGGTTACACAGAAAACGACTTCTATGACCTGGTGCGCAGCATCGGAGGAGACCTAGTGGAGAAGGTCACGCTGGTGGACGAGTTCACACATCCAAAGTAAGAAATCCAAAATGTCAGATACAGAACCAGAACCCATAACCAAACAAGCATTCCAGTAGCACCAGACCAAAAATATGAAAAATATATCAAGTTTTTATTTACTGTGAAATGTCCTATTAAAAAATCAGTATGTTTAGCTTAGTTTTTTCTCCTAATAAGGATCTTTTTAAAAACTTTAAAATAAGAAAAAATAGCTTGAGAAGCAAAATGTAGGTATTATAATTTGTTTTCAGAGAGAGTATATTAAATCGTATTCATATTTTTTATGCAAAATCTTGTTTTGAGTGATATGTTTTATTTATTTATTTATTATGATTTGTTTTAGGTGACCACAATGTTATTGTGGATGTACAGTCATTCCAAAAGAATGAGGATAAAAATACAGACAATTATTTATAAAATATGTTTTCAGTGGCAAAAGTCCTGTGCCTAATTATTATTTTTTGCCTTTTTGTTTCTTGTTTTTTTTTTTTTTTTATTAGTATTTTTTCCTTTTTTTCAGTGAAGATATTTAAAAAAAAAAATCTTTAAAACAAGTTCCTTTATTTATTTATTTTAATGCAGAACATGAAGATTTTAGGAAGTTGCTGTGTTCCGTCATTCATTTTGTTCATTTGTATTTGTCAATCTTTGCCATCATTCTGAAAGCTAATGGCTTTCGCAGGAGAGAAAGCTAATGTTATTGCGCGGGGCCGTTGGCAGTGCGGCGTTCATCTCTTGACGGAGGATCAGGGGTCAACGATGCCTAATGGCTCGGTTTTGAACTCTCCAGCATTAGGCTCCATTTCACGGTGGGCCGTGTTTGTCAGGCTCTTCAGACTCATTATCTCTTTCTTCCGTCATCCATTCACAAACACTTTCACAAACCACAGAACGATCCACGTGATTTTCCCTGAATGCAGTTGATATGGCGCAGCTCTTCCTGAGCAGGTCTGCTTTTGTGGACTGCAGAGGCTGTGCTTGGGTTGCCCTTTTCCTGTTTCCTCGCCCTGTGACATCAATAATTAATTGTATTAAGAGGATGAGAAGTTCACCTGCGGGCACAGCGGTCCAACTGTCCCAAGTCCCCTCTACTAGAACAGACTGTGTGTGTGTGTGTGTGTGTGTTAAATGATACAACGAGGAACTGCAGTGCGTAAAAAGAGCCGCAAACATTCATCTCTGTCCCTGCTCTTAATCTTTTTTTAAATAGCAACCTTTTCCCTCCCCTTCTCCTAATGACATCCGTAAATAAGATGACATCATGAGGTGCTGCAAGGGTGTAATAGCCCATACGACAGTTAGAAATTTAAAGAGATTGGTGTTTGTTTTGCTCTTTTTCTAATTCGGTCCAGACCTATGTTTGTGCACACGTTTCTTCGAAAACAAATATTTTATTTGAATAGTTTCTAGAATAGTTTGTGATATTGCCGCTGCGGAAGTACTTTTCTAAGTAGCCGTAATGTATTGTGTGTGTGTGTGTGTTTGTGTGTGTGTGTGTGTGTCCTGCAGCTAATTTCCTCTTTATGATCATTTTGCTGCAGTTGCGTCAATGCCTGTGAGCTCTGCTTCATACTTTCTACAACCAGAGAGAGAGAGAGAAGGACAGGGATGGAAAGGGCAAGAGAGACGTCAATACTTACCTTAAACCTGTTCTCCAACTTCAAATCACCAATTACAACGAGAGGACAGCCAATCACAGCTCATCTAGCCTCCAGCCATCTCCGTCCGTCAGAAATGTCACATTCGCAATATTGTCCTAATCATTTTCTCTCATTTTCTCTGCGGTACTGCTGACTCGGGCGGTTTTGAGAGCTGCTAATATGATGAGATTGGCAGCGAGTCTCCCATCATGCTCTTCTTCAGTGCGGTGAGAAATATTCTGGCATCAGACGTGCCCTCAAAGAGCCATTGGAAACCTAATGCTTTTCCTTTGTGCTCGCTGTTTTACTTATGACAATACCACAGCAGGGTTTTCCTTCAAAAATGACTCGGTTTTTATATGTGACTAACAGAAATGTGAGTGGTTTCTCATTCTGCAAAACAGTGAATATCCAAGAATTCAGCTGTCGTCTAATTTTTATCATACGGATGCATTTTTATTTTTTTTTTGCCCTTAGCATAAATAGCAAATATGTTAATTTTAAATAAAACAATCATGTCATTATGCATCATAATGGCATCGTATTTTTTTTCCGAAACTGAAGTTTTCAAGGACAAGTCTAAGGCATCTTGTTTTTTTTGTTTTTTTTTATGATTCTCAGTGGGGGAATCTAATTTGTCAACCCTGTTACCTTCATTTTCTGAGAACAAGGTTTGCAAGTCAGTTTAAATTGTAAAACTGTCCACCCTGTTACCATAATTATGTAATTATTTTGTGTATTTGGTGTAATGAAATGTGTTTATGCGGTTTAAGGTTAAAAAAACACATTATTTTCGATTTTTACAAATCTCATCGTTCTGAAAAGTGAGGTGGGCTCTGATTGGCCAGCTATCCAGTGCGTTGTGATTGGCCGAATACCTCAAGCGTGTGACGGAAATGTTACAGGGCGTGTTTAAATGAGGTGTTTTAGGAGGGCGTGGACGAGTCTTAACTTTTATAAAGAATATCTCTTTGGGCTTGAGACTTTAGTCTTTGCAACTTTAGGGATCTTATCTATTCACGAACAGCTTGTAACACTCCAAAGAGAAAGGAAAACTTGAAATCGCATCATATGACCCCTTTAAAATATAATCATTCAATTATTTTTCCAAAAAGTACTTAATAGTTTCACACCTTGAGAATAAAACTTGTAATGTCCATTTTAACTGTCCACCCTGTTACCATAACTTTGTAAAGTAAACAGTTGATAATATAAAAGTGTACGTTCAAATATCAGCATAACATTCCTTTTTTAACAAGTACACATATAAGTACAAAAAGTTTCGCATCTTGAGAACAAGGCTTGTAATGTCAATTTAAAGTATACAAGTGTCCACCCTGTTACCATCATTTTGTAAAGTGAACAACAGATAATATAAAAGTGAACATTAAAATATCAGCATTATATTCTCTTTTCAAAACGTACTTAATAGTTCCACACCTTGAGAACAAGATTTGTACTGTCAAATTAAATAGCAAAACTGTCAATTCTGTTACCGTCAATCTGTTCTGTTGCCATAATTTTGTATAGTAAAGAACTGATCATTTAAAAGTGAACATGCAATAATAAGCATTAAATTCTCTTTCTAGAAAGTACTTTATAGTTTCACAACCTTGAACGCAAGGCTTGTAACATCAAATTAAATTGTAAAACTGTCTACTCTTTTACCATCAACCCTGTTACCTTTCTGAAGGTGTAATTAATGCATGTTCCTACAAATATTGAAATGTAATAATGTAGCTTGGGATGGGACAATGCAATTTATTAACATTTAAACATGCTAGGGTGCTGTGCGTGATTTTCAGTGCAGTTTCAGTTATAAGGGTTGGGTCAGGAAGGTTGTCTTTCTTTCTTTCTTTCTTTCTTTCTTTTTTGGCTTCAGTATTTTAATACTTGTGCTTAAAAAGGGAATGAATTTAGTGGAATGTTGCTCAAACTGATGCGGGATGATTTATGCATCAAAGTTTTAATACTTTTGCTTTGCAAACTTCTAACCTTAAGTGTGAGCAATAGTTATATGATGTTTGCCTTAGCAAGCGCTACTAAAAATTGTATTGCATTTTTTCCAGAGTCTCTATATTGCCGTGTAAGCGAAGGCAAAGAATGAAACCAAAAGAGCAAAAACGTTGCATAAACCAATACACCTTTGAACAGCACACTGTATTTATCAGCACATCACTTATTTGTGCTGTAATTCAATCAACTTTCACAGCAGGCTATATCTGCTGACAGTAGGTTAATCTTGCATGCTATCTGTTGCCTAACAGTATTTTTTGGTTGTACGGAAGCATTCACTGCAAATTCCCCTAACAACTGAAATGTAAAACCCAAATGTGGGAAGTCATTTATAGTGAGCTGAGATACAGCGGCGTATTTTATATATATATTTGTGACACGCATATCCTCCGCTTGAGACAGCTTGAAAGACTCAGGTGTGCCTATCATTTATTCTGTTTCCAAAAATGTTCGTGGAAACAGGTTTGCTGAGGTTTTTCAAGGCTGTGTTGGCCCCATTAACAAAAACAATCTTAATGCTTTAACTTAGACAGTTAGAGAAGAGGCAAGTTACATTTTTAGAAGAATATGTGCAGTGAAATAGGCTTCTGAATGTTAAAAAGGGCCAAATGCCACATTCACACTGAACTTTATCCGTCCATTATATGATGGATGTCTATATCCCTCAGAAATGTCAGGGTATTACATGGAAGCTGTCCAGCAATAAACATTTCTGAGGATTTGTAGCACCTGACATTCAAATTATGGTCTTTTCCAACTGTGCAGCAATATATTTAAAGAATTAAAATATCATTGAGAACTTTCAGTAGAACAGTAGTGAGAGGACAAGGAGGCAATGCAAATGTTTAGTTTAGAAGTGCACTTTGTCTCTTTCAGTTCAATTGTGTGCATTGTTGGCATGAAAGGAAGTATTTATTCAGGTTGCTATTCATTCAAATGTAACATTCCATCACTTGCTCACCAGAGGATGCTCTGCAGTGAATGGGTGCCGTCAGAATGAGAGTCCAAACAGCTGATAAAAACATCACAATAATCCACAAGTAATCCACAGCACTCCAGTCCAGCAGTTAACATCTTGTGAAGTGAAAAGCTGCATGTTTGTAAAAAACAAATCCATCAAGGCATTTTAACTTTAAATTGTCGCTTTTGACCAAAATACAAGTCCATGATCCATAATAACGCTTCCTCCAGTGAAAAAGTCCATCTCCTGTTGTCGTCTCACATCAGAATCCTCCCACATATTTGTTTAGATCTGTTTTAGACTTGTAAACGGTGTTTGATCGCTGCAGATTTCTCTCCTGATTCAGACAAGATGACTTCCTTTCAGAAAAGGAAGAACTGTAGAAAGTAATATTATGG